TGATCAACAGTTGGCACAGTAATATCATACTGATCGGCATCAGTGGCTAAGGTACTGCAAACACATTTTGTAATTCCGGGATGCCTGTTTCCATCTGTTTTGACAGCAGACCGCCTTGCACTGGTCTTGGCAGTGGTATTGAGAGCCAGCCACTCAGAAACCAATGGTTTGGTTTGTTTGAACGAAATCAACATCATGGCGTGGCGAAGAAGAAGAAGAAGTAGCACCAGCGAGGATCCTGAAATACCTTGGGTAGATTTTTAACTCCAAATTTTGCCCAGGCAGCGTAGTTAGGCTACTCTTTTCAATTTCCAACCGCCAAGGGATTTATTATGTGCACAACAATACACAAGGGCACCCGATCTTACTATCCAGAGACCAGGGGAAATTACTGGAAGTACACATGAAAAAAATCCCAGCATTCACTGAAGCCTGAACCCGTGACCTCTAGCCCTCGAGGGTGGACGTCATGCCACGAGATCACTCAGAAACTAATGAAAAACTAACGTAAAATCACAAACAGCCAAAAAATGCTGGGTTTCTGTAAAGGATATGCAATTAACTTTAATTATTTTTAATAATGACATATTTTACATTACTAACTTTTTAACACAACACCCCCAGATCTTCACTCACTTGTTTCTTTTCATGATATGCTCGAATGGCCGGAGGAAATCTTTCTGAAACCTGAAGTTAGCAAACTCTCCTTTCTCAATAAACTTCATCGACAGCTGTCCGCAGAGAGTCCACAGCAAAGAAGGCAATATCTTCTTTTGGATTGCAGCCAACCTGGTATCAAAATGTACATTATTTGAAAAAAAAAAAAAAGTTACAGAAACAGTGTTTTTCTGAATTGAATTTAAACAAATGAGGACACAAACAATATATTCCACAATTTATTTCCTGGCATTTTTCACTGTTTCTTGTTAGATGGATTATGTATATTTTTTACTGGTTCTTGCTGACGAATTATGTATATTTTTCACTGTTTCTTGTTATTATTGCAGAGTTGACATCGACATTTAATGAAGCTCAATACCGTGGAAGAAGAAGAAAAGAAATATCCTCATCCTAAACAATCTGAAAATCAAGGAAGGAAGGCTGAACATCAAGGAAGGAAGGCTGAACATCAAGGAAGGAAGGCTGAACATCAAGGAAGGAAGGCTGGCTATTATATAACACCTTGTCCTGGAAACTGAAATATTTTGTTGCCATGGTGGATTAGAAAAAAAAAAACAATAGAAGAGGGCATGGCACTGGGAAAGAAGAACTGGGACTGAGTAGCTTTGAAGGAAACACCATTTATAAGTTGCCTTTTATGACATGCTTGTCAGAGGTGGCATAGTAGGTCTGTCTTTTAGCCCCAGAATGGGGCCAGTAGAATTCATAGGGGAATGCCATACACATAATGCCTAATTTCTAATGTGACCAACATCACGCCAGACTTTCTGTCTTACTCTAGATCAAATCTCAAACTAGGAGCATCTTTTATTATTCATTAAGTACACAACGACAGTAAACATAAACACTGTTGCTCTTTAAGTCTTTCAGTACATCAGAGGTCCCAGATAGTATCATCCTCTGGATACTTTCTCTAGGATTTGCTGGTGTGTTGGGAAATGAGCAGGCAGATAGACTGGTCGGTTATGCACCACTTGTTGGTGAACTGATATATGACAAGCTAAATGTTGTGAAAACCCTTTGGCAGCAGTGAACAGTGAGGAGGCACAGATAGATCATTACGGTTCTGAGAAGAATGGCGCTGCAAAGAGTTACCAGGGGATCTGGCCGAAGCTCAACACTCAAGGGAAAGGCGAGATGGATATACAATCAGACAGTTACTGGTGCCATCGAAACTGGAAATCTTCGCTTGAGCTGAAGATGGGGACGAAGCTCTTATGGGAGTGTCCTGAGTGTTGTAATGTCGATTCTTAATTCAACTTCTTTCAGCACCAAGCAACACCTTGAGCTCAACCCAATGTTTACTCTGTACTCCAGATGCTTATATGAACTCAGTCACCTTCGTTCAACTTGTTCATTAAGCAAATTCTATCCTAATTGTTACTTCAACTTATTTTGTCCTACAATGATATACTGGAATCCTCTGAGACCCAGACGTGTCTTACTTGAACCCTTTAGCCCCAAGAAGTTAAAGAACCAACATTTCCAGCTGGGTCCAATTCCCCCTAAACGTCACTTTTCCGACTTGCCTAGAGCAATCTGTTTACAAGGCGCATAGTTAATGACATTGGCCAAGTATGCACCTGCGCAAACATTTAGTTCAGGATGGGAATATTGTAACTAAAAATAGTATTTACCAGGTTGGGGGGGGGGGAGTATTGGTGGTGGTGGGGGGTCTGGTGTGTATTCCTTCCTTCAAGCTAAATGGCCTTTATAAAGCCAAGTTGATGTCAATTAGCATTTACCAGGGGTAAGGGGGAAAAAAAGGAAAGGGGGGGGGGGGGGGGAGGGTGTGGTGGGGTCTGGTGTGTATTCCTTCCTTCAAGCTAAATGGCCTATATAAAGCCAAGTTGATGTCAATTTTTCTCATAAACCCCAGTGATAGAGGTCACAGCATGAACGGCCCTATACATGTGTGTTTTAAGGTTCCATGGGAATATTCCATTTAATGCTTTACCCTGTTAGTGTTTGCTGATTACTCCTTTCATATTTATATATACCCCCCCCCCCCCCCCCAATATTTTAAAACATATTTTCTCTAGAATTCTAATGTGGTCATGACCTTTTTTTATTTTTTCAACTGCTCCCGGGGTGAAAGGGTAAAGCATCAAATGTTTAGAATATAAAGAACTGATGTAACACCTGCCGCAGACTGAAATAATTAGGCTGGCAGCAACTGTGCTCACCTTGTTAAAGTGCTCACCTAATTAAAGTGCTCACCTTGTTAAAGTGCTCACCTCGTTAAAGTGCTCACCTCGTTAAAGTGCTCACCTCGTTAAAGTGCTCACCTCGTTAAAGTGCTCACCTCGTTAAAGTGCTCACCTCTTTAAAGTGCTCACCTCGTTAAAGTGCTCACCTCGTTAAAGTGCTCACCTCGTTAAAGTGCTCACCTCGTTAAAGTGCTCACCTCGTTAAAGTGCTCACCTCGTTAAAGTGCTCACCTCGTTAAAGTGCTCACCTCGTTAAAGTGCTCACCTCGTTTAAGTGCTCACCTCGTTTAAGTGCTCACCTCGTTAAAGTGCTCACCTTGTTAAAGTGCTCACCTTGTTAAAGTGCTCACCTTGTTAAAGTGCTCACTGAGGATGTGCCAGATTCTTGACCACTGCAGACGGACACGGCCCATGTTGTAGTAGGAGATCTCCACAATCTTCTGCAGACTAAACATGCGGGGGTGAGCCGTGCTGGCCAGTTCATCCATGGAAACCTGGCACAGGGCCCGGACAAACTCCACTACATCACAGAGAACAAATCTTGTGTTACTTTAAAAAATGTTAATTCATGTTACTTTAAAAAATGTTAATTCATGTTACTTTCAAACATGTTAATTCATGTTACTTTGAAACATGTTAATTCATGTTAGTGTGAACATGTTAATTCCTGTTACTTTCAAAAATGTTAATTCATGTCACTTTCAAACATTTTAATTCGTGTCACTTTCAAACATGTTAATTCATGTTACTTTCAAACATGTTAATTCATGTTACTTTCAAATATTTTAATTCATGTTACTTTCAAACATGTTAATTCATGTTACTTTCAAATATTTTAATTCATGTTACTTTCCAACATGCTAATTCAGGTTACTTTGAAAATGTTAATTCATGTTACTTTCAAACATGTTAATTCATGTTACTTTCAAACATGTTAATTCATGTTACTTTGAAACATGTTAATTCATGTTACTTTCAAACATGTTAATTCATGTTACTTTCAAACATGTTAATTCATGTTACTTTCAAACATGTAAATTCATGTTACTCAGAATAGTAATTATCCTCACTGTTGAGTGCTTTGCTGACTGGTGTGGGCAATCATGCCTTTCCACAATCAGTGATCTTCAACAGCTTGCATCAGTTCGTATGCTGATGCCCTTATATGCCATTGACAAAGAACGTCTGCATCTATTTTCTCTATCAGTTTAAGGTTTTCATCAGTCTCGAAAAGGGCTGCCCCATTAATTTTTATATCATTCCATCGTTTTGTTTGTATCTGTTATTTTGTAAAGCTTGCTAATATACTTTTCGTTTGGTTTCTTCTTCGTCGTTCAGCTAAAGATGTAATTGTGTTGTGTCCGTTAACAGCATGGCTGCAATATTTGCAACTTTTCGGCCAACACATCCTACTTCTGCGGGCATTTGTTGACCGGGTTAGCCTTCCAGGTTTTCGTTCGGTTTTATATCATTCCATGAAATTCTTTGCATTCTTTTCAGAAACTACATCTCCACTAAGAGCAAATGTGAGAGGAAACAAATCAATGAACCAGGCTTGATCCTGTTGGACACTCCAGGATGAATGGCTTGCTACTAGCCAAGAGTGTTGCAAAAAAAGCACAGACTTCATAGCTACAGATGACCATCTCCAGGGATCTAAGAAAATTTGTACTTGTGAAATTAATGGAAGAGTATGAAAATAAACCCAGGTGGGTACATACCTAACTGAATTTTAAGCTAAGATTCTTAAACTCAACTTGTATTCCAGGTCGATTATTACGCCACGGCAAATATTTTAAATTACTACCAGGCAATATGAAACCTAGACCTTAGAAAACTCAAGTGGATCAGTTACAATTATGACGGTTTGGACATGTATGCAGAATGCGAGAGAATCTGCACCAGGCAACCAGACCTTCAGGATGACCCAGGGTTCGCTGACAAGACAAAATCTGACAGTCCAAGACTGGCAGAGGACTGGAATAGAAAAAAGCCAAAACGAAAACCGCTGACAGAATAGTCTGGCTATTCTTCTGGTAAACCTCCACACCCCAGGGTAAAAAAGGACTGACTAAATAAAAAAAAATATAATTTTTTTTAAAAACTCACCAATAGCATCGCCATCCAGTTTCACAGATCCGGTAAAGATTCTGTCTACAGCAACTACAACACTCTGTGAACTTGTCTCGCCGACCGTCTCATGGAAGTTGGCCAGTCTCTGCCTGTCCATGTTCCCCATGTTTCCTTTAACTATGGCTGTGAGATACATCAAAACATTAACAGTCAGATACCTAGTGGCCAGCCACCGTGGTGTAGCAGCTAGACGTGGGGCCTGAAGGTCACGGGTTCAAGTGCACATTGAGGAGGATCCTTTTTTGTTTTCTTTCTCAAAAATGATCTTGGCTCAGAGGTCGACCCAGCTTAAAATAGGTACCGGGTAAAGTCCTGGGAAGTAAAGGTAGCCAGTAAGATGTTGACAACATCACCCATAGAGTGCCGATTGGTTGATAAAATATAGGTCTAGCGCTATATACCCAATACACCTAAAGGCGTGCAAAATGGTCCCTATTTTAACTTATTTAGTTGTTAGTAAATATATTTTATAAAACTTAAATAATACTTCTTATTCTGTCCTTTATTATCTAACACAGCGGTTCTCAAGCTGTGGGTCGCAACCCCTTTGGGGGTCGAACAACCCCTTCAGAGGGGGTCACCTAAGACCATCAAAAACATATATTCACTGAAGTTATGAAGTAGCAGCGAAAAAATGTTTTTATGGTTAGGGGTCACCACAACATGAAGAACTGTACTGAAGAACTGTTTTAACGGGTCGCTGCATTAGGAAGGTTGAGAACCAGTGCTTTAATGGAACCCAGGCAGTCAACCAACTCACAACAAATTGTCCTTTTCTTTGCAGGACCCTCCATGCCGTCCCCATATTTGTAACTTCAAGCTTTAGGATCCTTCTCCATGTGCCCTATATTGTTTCATTTCTTTTTGCCACTTCTGCTACACTTTCCGATTCATATATGTTAACTTGTAAAAACTTGTTTAATGGTTAATTGTTTTTTTGGTGGCTATTATTTTTTACAGAATGAAGTAGCCAACAGTAACCTACTCTTTGTCAACTCTTCTGACATGCCTAGCAGGGTGCAGTGTTATTATTCTTGCCTTCTTTCTGAGGACCCTGATAAAACACACAATATATAATAAATAATTACATGAGGGACAAATCTCAGAATCATTAATAATAATTTAACCCTCTCTGCCCAAGAATATTTGAAAAATAGGTCATGGCCTTGTTAGAATTCCAGACAAAATCCTTTAGATACAAAAATTATTTTTATTGTACACAGGTCACTGTCGGCGTCTGTGGCTTAGGCGCTACGAACAAGCTTAGTGTTGCCAGGGTGCCGGGCTCGATCCCTGCTGCTGGCCATGTGCCTGGCGTTGATTTCAACAGTGGTATCGAGAAGCTGACCATCCAGAAAACAATGGCAAACTACTGGACATAAATTTGTCTAGAAAAACCACCAAAAATTTACTGGGGTTGGTTCTGCAATGTCCTGTAAAGGATACACAACTAACTAACTTAAACAAAGGACACTAATAAATTTGTTTTCAATTAATTTACCTGCATTTAAAAAATTTTTTTGGGCGGAAATAAAGATATACAAAGGAAGTAAATTTTTTTTCATGGGAAAGCTGTTTACTTTTGATCGGTTTGATTTTTAAATGGCAGAATGCAATTAATCAAATCTAAGTAACCTAAAACAAGACCTATATAAATCCTATTCTGATACAAGAAAGTGAATCATGGATGGTTGGCCCTGTAGAGAAAAATTTCGCGGAAACTGCAAAAATGGGTTTTTACAACTGATGAGAAAATCATGGATAGATAAAAAGTGTAATGAAGATGTTCTGAAAGAAACAGATTCACAAAGAGAACTAATTGCCAACATCAGAAGGAGTCAAACTGGAATCTTTGGTCCTATGATGAGAAGGAGAAAAACTGGAATCTTTGGTCCTATGATTAGAAGGAGAAAAACTGCAATCTTTGGTCCTATGATGAGAAGGAGAAAAACTGGAAGACATTGTGAGGGAGGGAAAGCTGGAAAGGCAAAACAGGCAGAGAGAGACTGAGAGGATGACGTCACGGCACGGAAGATCATCTGTGTCAGAATTGAGTGAAAGTACATGTGGCAGAAGGTTCAGGATAGACATGACTACCAATGCTACACGGCACAGACTAAATAAAAGAAGAAGTAAGACAATTCACCTTCAGGGTCATGTGCCTCCACAGGATTATTCGAGTGGCTGTGAGGTCCAGCAGCAATGTATTTGGTTTTCACTCCAGTCCCGATCAGTTGTGCCAACTCCAGCTGAGATATGCAGCGCAGGATCTGTTGATAGATACATAACTATACTGTAAACAAATGCTAGATCATTAATGTATCCACAAAGTGACAGATAATACACAGCATACTTATACTAAATTCCCCGTGTGGTTCTGGGGTCCTATTATAGGGGGAAAACAAGAATAAACCCACTGCCTACCCAAAAGCATGTCGTAAGAATCCACTAACTTGGGAGCTTACTTCGAAGTCGGAGTGCATCTGCCTGAGAGGGAAAGAACCAAATTAGTCAGATCTGTAAAACAGATGCACACGCAACACTCAGGTTCTGGAACAGGACTGCAGTCCTAAAGTGGATGGACAACCAGAAATTTCCGCCAGAGTTCACAGCTGGTGAACGAGAAGAAGAAGAAGAAGAACTTATACTAACACTACGCTTCCAGCGTCAAACTTGAACCCTGTAAAAATATATCTAAAATCACTTCTAAGATGATATGACTAAGGAAAGACAGGTTTGAATATCCAAGACCGTGGGAGAAACACGATTATCTGACAGATTGTGAGAACAAATCTTGTGCCAAATACACTGAGACATTTGTGAAAAGCAAAGGATGACTGAATATGCAGTCATGGATTCCTGGATGACCGGATTCTTCTTCTTCTTCTTCTTTGCGTTCACCAGCTGTACACTCTGGTGTAAAGTTCTGGTTGTTCGTCCACTTCTGGACTGCAGTTCTGCTCCAGAACCTGAGTGTTGCGTGTGCATCAGTTTTACAGATCTGATTCAATTGAATGCAGACTGCTGGTTCCTTGCCTCTCAGGCAGATGCACTCCAACTTCAAAGGAAGCTCCCCAGTTAGTCGACTCTTACGACATGCTTTTGGGGAGGCAGTGGGTCTATTCTTGTTTTTCCCACAATAGGGCCCCGGAACCCACACGGGGGGATGACCGGATTCAATACATGATATCGAAAAGATTGTGCAAGGTAGAATAGAATGGAGGAGTCAACGATAAGTCCTTTGTGATGTACACAAAACACAAGAGGAAGATTACCATGGACTGTGAGTGAGTGAGTGTTCAACCCAACTAGGGCTGCAGTATGAGTGATTAATACCTGGTGATACAAAGTGCCACCATTCGGATGAGAATCCCCAGGCGCAAGCCTCAGGAACTCCGTTCAGCAATTAGGTTATATTTGGGCCCCATACGACAACCAGAGCGGAGCTTTAAAATCATACACATACAAAACCATGTCATATAGACTGAGTCCCTTGTAATGTATAAATGACACGAGACGAAGATTATGATGTCTATGGTGATGCAACAGACGATCTCTCTCTCACCTCCAGCCACGACTTGCCCAGGTAATTGCCGTCAGTGTGAGCCACGGATATCAGCGTCTTGATGGTGTCGATGTTCTTGGGTTTCATCTCTGTAATTGGCGTGGCACAGGTGAGAAGGGTGAACCTTGCTAAGGCTTGGACATAGGCATCCCTTTCCAGCTGTGGGTAAGATAATACAAGAGGTTTTTTTTTTTTGTTAAACAGAAACTACAAGAAAAAAAAGGGTTAAAGACATTTTCACACCAACTACTTAACAGGCATATGGTGCTAGGCCAATATTTTTATATACCAGTTGGCATAAACTCCTTCAGGCCCTACCGACACATCATGTGTGATCATCTGGCTTCTGCCCACATGTCCCAAAACAAGGCATAATATGATCTGATTTTCATGACAAACATATGATCTGCTATTCAAAAATTATTACTCTTCTTCTTCTTGTTCACTGGCTGTACACTCTGGCGGAAAGTTCTGGTGGTTTGTCCACGACTGGACTTTAGTCTTGCTTCAGAGCCTTAGTTTTGTGTGCACACGAGTTTAACAGATCTGACTTAATTGTATTCAGATCTGTGGTTCCTTGCCCCTCATGGGTTGAGTGGTCTCGAGGCATTGTCTCCGTCTCAAGTGTTAGAGGTTCCGGGTTCAATTCCCGGTAAGACCTGGGATTTTTTCACATGAACTTGGACTTCTAGTAATTCCCTCTGGTCTCTGGGTAGTGTGATCGGATGCCCATGTGCATTGCTGCGCGCGTAAAAAAATTCCTTGACAGTTGGAAATCAAAAAGAGAAACCTAACGGTGCTAATCGGGCAAAATTTTGATTTAAAAATCTACCCAAAGCATTTCAGGATCCTTGCTGGTTCTACAGAGCACAAGAGAAGTATATAAACAGACAACAAAAGAAAAGTAAAAATAGACCCCCCCCCCCCCCCCCCCCCCCCCCCCCCCAAAAAAAAAGTATAAACAGACAACAAAAGAGAAGTATAAACAGACAACAAAAGAGAAGAATAAATAGACAACAAATGAGAAGTTAAAACAGACAAAAAATAGAAGTATAAATAGACAACAAAAGATAAGTATAAACAGACAACAAAAGAGAAGAATAAATAGACAACAAATGAGAAGTTAAAACAGACAAAAAAGAGAAGTATAAACAGACAACAAAAGAGAAGAATAAATAGACAACAAATGAGCAGTGAAAACAGAAAAAAAGAGAAGTATAAACAGACAACAAAAGAGAAGAATAAATAGACAACAAATGAGAAGTAAAAATAGACAATAAGAGATATGCATAAATAAACAACAAATAAAACATTCTTACAAATAACCGAAGCTGTAGCAACTTCTTATCAAACAGATAGTGAATAAATAAACAGACAAACTTACCTCCATGTGGAAAATGCAAGCAATCCGGATTGCGCATCGGATCCCATCCAAACACAACAGCGCTATCTCATTGTCATCACAGTCTTGCAGACCAACGCTAAAAGCTGCCAGAAAAGGTGTCCATGCCAGCTGAAATACACCGCCATTTGTTGCAATGTAAATTTAATTATGCAAATCTGTTCCAGAAAATCGACCAGCCATAGTAAAATTTGATGTTCTGATGATTTGTGCTTTTCTCCTTCTGCTTTCACACTTGTTAAAAAAAATAAAAGCTGCTGGTATGTTGTGTTATGGTTTACAGCTAGGCTGCAATATCTGCGCCTCTCAGATCAAACTATTGGAACTATACCCATCGTTAAATTTATTGAGAAGCAAAGAATGAAATGGTTTGGTCACCTAATGAGAATGGAACCAACGATGCCAGCATCAAGAGCATACAACATGAAAATCGAAACACCAAGAGGCAGAGGAAGTACCAAGAAGAATATGGATTGAAGGAGTCACGGACAACTTGAGACTTCATAACATCACGGCATATGAAGCGACTGAGCGCGCCCTGGCTCGGTTGTCGATCATCTGATAGACTGCAACGCCTAGCGGCACAAGCAGATTTTGACAAAAGAAGAAGGGGAGGACATTGTGTCTAATCCCCCCCCCCCTCCCCTTTTTTTTAAATGGAACAACAACCAGCAAGGGGAAATCATGGTGAAGAACTAAGACAAAAATATAAACAAACATCTGCACAAAACTAAGGTAAAGGTGTATTGGGTATATAGGGCTAGACCTATATTTTATAGACCAAACGTCACTTGGTGGGTAATGTGGTCAGCATCACGCAAGCTGCCTTTACTTCCCAGACTGTACCTGGTACCCAGTCAGGGCTTGGTCAAAAATCCGGCCCTCGCCAAGAACCGAACCCACAACCTTCCGATCTGCAGCCGAGCGTATAGCCACTAGATCACAGCGGCTCCCATCTACACAAACTGTAGAATCTAAATGTTATGTTATCACAAATAATATCACACATATAGGACATTCATAACAGTGCTCGGCCCTTCGATTCAGCAGCCATCGAAAACTGATGGCAATGCTGACTGTTCCCATACAAAGCTGGTTAAGGTACATTCTATTTTGATGAGAAACTAAGTAATAGAGTTTATCTTCTTCTTCTTCTTAACATTCAACAGCTCTTAACTTCAGCGGAAAGTTCTGGTTGTTTATCCACTTCTGGACAGATGCACTTCGACTACAAAGGAAACACACCTAATCGACTTTTACAACATGTCTGTTGGGGGGGGGGGGGGGGGGGTGGGGGGGGGGGGTATCTATTCCCCCCCCCCCCCCCCTCAGACACCACAACACAAGGGGCCCTGATTTTGCATGAAAGATAAGACTTCTGAGAAGATATCTCAGGCAATTTGCCTGCAAATATTACAGGCGCTGGGCCCGCATGCAAGCTCAGGTCAAATGTAGAAATCCACCACACCTCGATGACCTTGCTGTTTACTTCATTTGTATTCAGCTATATGGATAAGCTCTTTGGATTGGTATAACTGTTGATATTCAAAATATGTTTTCTTCTTCTTCTGCCCCCTAAGTGGTTGGTATGCTGTGTTGTGGTTTACAGATAGACTGCACTATCTATGCATTTTCTGCTTAATGCATCTGATTTCAGAAAAACATGTATCAGTCTCCCTTTAATGATGCTTAATTAGAGGCAGCGAGTCTATTCTGGGCAGCCAATGCTTCCACCCCCCCCCCCCCCCTCCAAGATCTTGGCCAAAAATGTAACTGGCATTAGCCCTGTATCTATCCCCCCCCCCCCCCCCCCCCCCCCATAAAAATGGCCTCAGAACCCACAACACAAGGTGTTATTTCTAAATCTGATTTTGCAGTTGTGACACTCAAATGTAGTTAAACCTCAACCTACCTTGAACATGGGTCTGACATGTTCCAGGTGGGTGGCGCTGGTGAAACTAGCCTGACAGTGACTGACACTCTCCATCAGAGCCTTAGCTGTGTGGGCCATGTGCTCCATCTCTACGTTGTACAGAAGTCGTCTCTGTTTATCGGAAGTGATGTCTTCTAAAGTGTTTTTTTTAATTTTAAAAGAAGAAACCAAAAAAATATTTGTATTTATTAACTGGGGATTGTTTGTGTACAGTCGGTCAGCTCAGCAACCTGTCAACTGACACAGTCATGCATCGGTTTCTCAATCCTTTCATTCAAACATGCATCCACTGATTTAACCATGCATCCATCTATCTATCCACTTACCTATCCACTGACATAGTCATGCATTTATTCCTCCATTCAAACATGCACCCATTGATTTAGACATGCATCTATCTGCGCACTTACCTACTCACTGACGCAGTCATGCATTTATTCCTCCATCCCTTAATTCAAACATGTATCCACTGATTTAACCATGCATCCATCTATCTATCCACTTACCTATCCACTGACACATTCATACATTTAGTCCTTCATCCCTTCATTCAAACATGCACCCATTGATTTAGACATGCATCCATCTGCGCACTTACCTATCCACTGAGTCAATCATACATCCATCTACCATTATACCATATGAACAATGCTCTATGGAGAGAAAAAAACTGTTACAAGATATCATAAAGTGATCTGAATAAACATGGCAGTGGCTTTGTTTGATTTTTAAGCGCAGACTTACTGGCAGACGTGTTATGTTTTGGCCCTGTGCTGTGGGCTTTCATTTTAATCTCCTTGCTGGCAATCTGGTCATAAATTGCTGAGAGGAAGTCGGGAGGCAGGTCTTTGCTGTCATTGATGCCACGGTTCATGCGAATGTACTGCTCTTTGGTCATCTTGGAGCTGGCTTTCACCTGACAACACATCATATATATTTTATCAAAATATGTTTCCAAACTCACCGATACATTGCGTCCACCTCTGACAGACTCTCCTGCTGTAGTTATCTTCTTCGCGTTCACTGGCTGTAAACTCTGGAGGAAAGTTCTGGTTGTTCATCCACTTTTGGACTGCAGTCCTGTTCCAGAACCTGAGTGTTGCGTCTGCATCAGTTTTACAGATCTGACTCATTTGTATGCAGACTGCTGGTTCCTTGCCTCTCAGGCAGATGCACTCCGACTTCGAAAGAAGCTCCTAATTAGTTGACTCTTACGACATGCTTTTGGGTGGGCAGTGGGTCTATTCTTGTTTTCCCTATAACAGGACCCAGGAACCCACACAGGGATCCTGCTGTAGTTATCTTCTTCGCGCTCACTGGCAGTAAACTCCAGCGAAGAGCTCTGGGTGTAGCTACACCTGGGTCTTAGTGTTGTTTCAGAACCCGAGCTTTGCATGCACACTGTTTCACAAATCTGGCTTACTATTATGCAGAATTTGGGTTCCTTGCCTCTCAGGCAGATGTACTCCGACTTCATCGTGTGGATTCGAAGGCTCCATTTTGGAGGCGGGGGAAAATATAGACACACTGCCTGTTAACAAGCTTAGGTTTTTGTGTGTGAACAGATGTAGGTACTGGACTGAAAGGCAGATAAAACACAGGCTTGTTGTGAACACAATGTGCTAAACACCCTTTTAAGGGTGAACAGAGAAGAAGGAATAGGAGGAAGAAGAGGAGGAGGATGAGGAGGAAGAGGATGAGGATGAGGAGGAAAAAAAGATGGAGGAGGAGGAAAAAGAAGAAGTGGAGGAGAAGAAGCAGCAGCGGCAACAGGAGGAGGTGGTGTATTCAGATTACCTGTGGGTTGTGAAGATCTGTAGTCAACATAATCACAGAGAATGCCAAAACGTAGGCAGTGTCAGCACTAGCAAAAATTTCCATCCTAAAAAAAAAAAAACACATGTACAATATAAATTTTATTTCGAGAACAATTCTAGAGAAACATTTAACCATCATTTCATCTGTCTTATAATAAACATTAGTAATGTGTATGGACCGTGTTTTGTAGAGGGGGTATATCAGAATGGGAATGAGTATAAAGGATGAAATGATTGCTGAAAGGATGAGAGCTGAGCATCTGAGAAAAAATACACTAAACACAAATGCTGACAACAATGGCCCTGAAATGCCATGCTATAATTGTGGAAGACTTACTTTTAACTCTGAAGCTGTCTAGTTCTACTTCTTATTTGGTTTGATATTATTTTATGGTATGATAAGAATTTTTCTGAACACCCACAAATCTAAATATTGGTTTGCCAGTTGGTCATTTGCCTGTGTTATGCCATATGATTGTCAGTTTGTTTAACCTCTGTATATAACAAACAAACAGATATGTATTCATCGGCACTGAAAGAAAGAAGTGGAAAGAGAGAAGGAAACATCAGACAATATTAAAATCAAAAAACCGTAGCTACCATTTCGGGTATTAACTCTTTGAGTCCCAAACAACGCATAATATGTGAATCATCCTATCTGCTGAATCTTCTTCCTAACTTAAAATAATCTCTTAATTTTTGTATTTAGTCAGAACATACTCAAAAAAATCTGGCCTGTCTAACTGATCACTACCACTGGTATATTACTGTTTTGAAAGTAATGTGTTGATGAATTTTAATCACCGACATTTCTTTGCTGACATCTACTAAAACAGTTAAACCTGTTACCTCCAAATGACAACTGCCCCTAGCTGCAGGAAGAAATGTATTAAAGAGCATGACCAACTAGGCATTCCTAAAACAAGGATGTCTTCATTAGCCATGTCTACCATGCAGCTTAAACCCACAACTATGGAATATAGCCTCCAGGGTTCTGTTTGTTTGTGGGTTTATTTCTCTTTAACCTCTATGTTTCTGCTATAGCAACTCTTTCTCTGGAAGGCTGCGCGGTCTCGAGGCATGGTGTCCGACTCGAGTGCTAGAAGTTCCAGGTTAAATCCCCGGTAATGGCTGGGATTTTTTCACGTAGACTTGGTTTTCTAGTAATTTCTGCCTGGTCTCTGGGTAGTGAGGTTGGACGCCTGTGTGTATTGCTGAGCACATAAAAAATCCAATGGCAGTTGGAAATTGAAAAGAATAGCCTAACGGTGCTGCCCAGGCAAACTTTGGAGTTAAAAATCTACCCAAAGTATTTCAGGATCCTCGCTAGTGCTACAGAGACTGTGCACTGTGCTGAGCTTCTTTGGACTCAGACTTGAGTTAGAAGAAGAACAGAGCACTTATGGGTTACACCCGTGTGCCATGATGTTGATCCGTTGTTCAAAATCTTAAACCTCTTTCTCTAATTTCTGCTGGTTTCCTTTCTTGTTAATCATGAATTTAAGGTTTTCAAAGCCTGGGACCTTTTCAATTTCTTCATCTTTGATTTTAATTTTTTGTCGACATTGTCTGTGGTCATATTTTTCTTTCCTTCAAGACTTGGAAAAGAATTTTTTTTTTAGCGTTCTTCTTCTTCTTCACTTCCTCTTTTACCGCTGTGGGTGTCGAGGGAGATATAAGGTTCTGTTTCTTAACGTTCACCGGCTGTAAACTCCAGCAGAAAGTTCTTGTTCGTTCATTTCTGAACTTTGGTCTTGTTCCAGAACTTGAGTTTTGTGTGCACATCTGTTAAACAGAACTGGCTTAACTATGCAGACTGTTGGTTTTTGCTTCTCAGGCAGATGCACTTTGCCTTTGAAATGAACACCCCTAATTTGTCGACTTTTCCAACATGCTTGTTAGGGAGTAGTGGATCTGTTCTTTTCTTCCCCACAATAGGACCTCGGAACCCACACAAGGGAGAACAGATTGTAATCTCAACTGTATCCCCTGACAGACAAGATAAACTGTTCGAATCGTTTTCCACTGTTTGAGAAAACTGTAAACATCAGCATACTTGATTCTCACAGATTATGAGTAGATCAAGCTTTCCAACACACATCGTCAGTTTTCTCATTGCACATTCTGCATCCACACTGAGAAGATACAAGGAGAAAATGCAGCTGCTCTCTGCACCTCAAACCAGTTTTATATTTCACCAGCTACTCTAACAGCTTTTAGATGTGCTCTAAGTTTCAGAGCCATATAAAATGACTGGTCTTATTAACATTTTATATATTTTGATCTTGGTGTCGCGAGACAGACACTTGATTTTCATATTCCAAAGATGCAAACAGCAGGGAATGGAAAGTGAGAAGCAACAACAAAATTCATAATCTGTTTAAATCACCATTGATCACTGGCATCATGAGAGCTAATAGACTGAAATGGTTGGGGCATATTGCGAGAATATCAGATGATATAGAAGTGAAAACTGTATACACAAGGGAGATGAATGGACGTGGACCAAGAGGGAGACCAAGAAGAAAATGGAGAGATAATATCCAGGCAGACCTGCAAACACTTGGTGTCACCAACTGGAAAGAGAAGGCCAACCAGAGAGATGAATGGAGGTGGGTGATATCTGCAGCTATGAACCTTAGGGGCTCAGAAAGCTGACGAAGAAGAAGGCTACTCTAATGGCTGAAAGAAAAAAGTAACACCTACCCTTGATTACACTCATAGTATCTAGATGCAAATTTCTCCATCAGTCTGTCGATCTTCTGAGACTCGCCAGGTAGTCTGAAGCCTGAGAGGAACTTTCTCAGGGCAGAAACAATGTCCATTTCTACAAAGTCCATTTGGTCAATGTAAGCATACATCACCTCCTTGTGAAGCCTGTTGCCAGGAAGCAAGGCACACAGAATAAAATGTTATGAGAAATTATCAGGCTATATGGTGATACGGGTAGGGTCAAAGTAGTATTATATCAGCCTACTACCATGCGTAGTCGGCTCTGTGGCTAAGTCGATAAGAACGCTTCGAAATGCCAGGTTCGATTCCAGCTGTGGGCCATGCGCCTTGCGTCAGTTTCGACAGAGGTATCAAGAAAGCCGACCATCCAGAAAGAAATGGCAAACTACTTGATGTAAATTTGCCTAGAAAAACCACACTGGGGTTGGTTCTGTAATGTCCTGCAAAGGATACGCAACTAACCTAACTACCATGAGTGGGAGCCGCTGTGGTGTAGTGGCTAGGCACTTGCTGTGGATCAAAAGGCTGTACCTTTTTATTCTTTTAAAAAATGACCTTGGCTCCCAGGTCAACTTATGAACCAGTCCTAGGAAGTAAAGGTGGCCTGTGTGATGTTGACCACATCACCCACCAAGCGCAAATTTGTCTATGAAATACAGGTTTAGCACCATATGTCCAATACCACTGACAGCATGGAAAAGGGTCCTTTACTTTTACCACAATGAGTGTCTTTGGTTTCATGGGATGCCTTACTTGTCCTAAATTCCACCCCCCCAAAAAAAAAACACTTGTGTGTCTACATTTCTTTCCCTCTCCTCTCCCTCCCTCCCCCCCCACCAAACTCCAGCTGATCAGGTATCAAAAACATCTGTGCTACTGGAACAGTCAGCATCTACACCTTACGACAGTGTTTCCCAAACCTGTCTTGGTCGTGGCCCCTTATTTCAATTAAAATTTTTCCACAATGCCCTAACCTAAGTAAACGTATAACTTGGTAATCGGGACTTGGTTAAACTAATTATGAAGCTTTTACAATATTTCGCTGCGACCCTGTGAAGAGGTCGCGGCTCCCCAGGGCGCCGCGGTGCACAGTTTGGGAATCACTGCCTCAAGACATTTGCTGTATGAGGAGACAGAGCATCTATGGGTATGTCCAGTGTGTTATGATGTAGATTCTTAAATCAGTTATCAGTAAAAAAAAACTTATCACAAAATATTAACTTTGTATTTTTTTTACTTACTTTTCATTCTCACCAAGGAAATCACCAACAACAGTCTGGGAACAACAACAACAAAAAACATCAAGAAAAAAACTTATTACTACAGTTGTAAATTCATTGCTATATAAAAATGTGATTAAAGTCTAAAGCTCACTGAATTATTCTGAAAACCAACTACAATTTACAACATTCGGAACCCTTGAGGTTCATAGTTGTAGATATCACTTGTCTGAATCCCTCTCTAGGAAAGGCCTTCTCTTTCCAGTCAGCGACTCCAAGCGTTGCAGGTCTGCTAGTGTATTGACCTTCCATCGTCTCTTTGTGTGTGAACTTTCCAGGTAAATATTTCTTGGGAAATAACTGTTTACATTATTAAAAGAAATGTTTCTACTGTTTTATAAGGAAATGCACAGTAGGTGTATTTTGTTTTAAATTCATTTTGAAAGTGTACTATGTATGAAAAGAGGGTGCTAAAATGTTACNCAGACAGCCATTCTTTTTTGTTTAAATGACCTTGGCTTCTAGGCCAACTCAGCCTTGAATGTGTACCAGTCCTAGAAAGTAAAGGTGGCGTGCATTATGTTGACCACATCCCCCCCACCAAGTGCCAATTGCTCTATGAAATACAGGTCTAGCACCATATGCCTGATACCACTTTTAGTGTGGAAAAGGGTCCTTTACTTCTACTACCACGGGCGTCTATGGTTCCATGAGGTGCCTTAATTGTCCTAAATATCAAAAACAAACACTTGCGTGTCTACATTTTTATCTCTCCTCTGTGCTTTATTAATATCCTACCCCAAACAGGCGATATCCACAAATCACCGGACAGTCTAATATTTCAGGTGGTGGTAGATAGGCTGCATGCAATCATTGGATCTAGGCTGCACTCTCTCATGGCAAGTTCTAGATGTTTCGGGGTCGATAAAAGCATCAGAAAGCTGGGAAACCCAGTCTTACCATCCTCTAAAATGTTGGACTGTCCTGTGACGTCATCTGGGGTAGGATATTAATAAAGAACCCTTTCCTCTCCCTCCCTTCCCCCATCAAACTACAGCTGATCAGGTATCCAAAAAAACATCTGTGTTACTGGAACAGTCAGCATCTACACTTTAAGACACTTGCTGTGCGAGGAGGAAAAGCATCTATGTGTATGGCCAGTGTGTTACAAAGTAGATTCTTAAATCAGTTATCCATAAAATACTTATCACAAAATTTTAACTTTAAAACAGAAAAAATACTTACTTTTCATTCTCACCAAGGAAATCACCAACAACAGTCTGAGAACAACAACAACAAAAAACATCAAGAAAACATGCTGATAATATAAAACTTATTATACAGTTGTAAATTTATTGCTATAAAATAAAAACATGATAAAGTCTAGAACTTACTGAATTATTCAGAAAAGCAACTACAATTTACTTAATTTTTTTTTCGTCTGAATCCCTCTCTCTGACTAGTCTTCTCTTTCCAGTTGGTGTTGCAGGTCTGCGTGTATATTATCTGTCCACTGTCTTTTTGTGTGTGAACTTTCTGGATAAATATTTCTTGTGAAATATTCTACTATATTATTAAAAGAAATGTTTCAAATGATTTATTAGGAAACATCCAGTAAGTAAGTATACTTGGTTTAAAATGCATTTTTAAAGGGTACTATGTAAGAGGTCAGATAAATGTTTGCCTGCTGGCCCAAAGGTCTTGGATTCAAATCTGCAGAGATTTTTTTTTTAACGGACTTTGGCTCCAAGAGAGGCCGCTGTGGAGTTGAGGCTAGATGCTCACCTTGGGATCAGAAGAATCTGAATCTGATTTGAATAACAAAAATTTCAAACTTAGTCTTCATTGAGTCGCCTGAGGGCCTGCTATATTGAGGACTGGTTCTTTGCTATCTGATTTGGATTTTGTTTATTTGTGGCGATCAAATTTTCCTAAGTTTCATTTCTTTGCTTCCATCATGTCAGCGTGGTCTGGTTTGGTGGGTTTTTGATTAGCTTTTTCCAGTTTTGGGAGTGGATCTAGCAGCCCTGACAAGGACTGCCATTTTTGCCTGAAACAGATGGGTGGGATCTCCTGCAGGTCCAGTGCTGGAGTTTTCTGAAAGGGCGTCTCCTCCTGGTACCTCTGGTCGGCGAGCCAGCTTCTAGGCTTAGTTTGTTGGATTTGGTGGGCTGTTTCCTGCGTGCTGGAAAGGGAGTCTGCTAGTCCTGAGAAGGACTTGCAGTTTGCCTGGGGCGGCGCAGGATTGGAAGATTGTCAGTTTAGGTCCTGATGGAACCGGACTTGTTTCAAAAATGACTTTGCCTCCCAGGTCTACTCAGCCTCAAATAGGTACCAGATAAAAGCCTGGGAAGCAAAGGCAGCCAGCATGATGCTGATCACATCACCCACCAAATGCAAATTGGTCTATAAAATATAGATCTAGACCGAAAAAATCGTTGTATTTCTCAAATTCCCAGATTTTGGCCTCAATTTGTCTGTGGCGGCTGTGCTCTGATTGGATTTTCAGCAACTAATCTGCCTGCCCTCCCCCTAAAGACCGAACCCAAAAATAAGCCCTAGCACGATTTTAAGGATGCTTTTAATAAAGCTCTACCCTAGAAATAAGCCCCAGTTAAAATTGTCAGCCAGAAAGACAGATTTAGTGCCAAAAGGCCAATCAGAGTACAGCCGCCACAAAAAGATTGAGGTCGAAATTCAGGATTTTGAAAATTATCACGATGTTCCAAAATGACATGACTGTATTTGAAAAAATGTTTAATTCTGTACAGGAATAAATGCAAATTTCTGTATCTGATAAACAAAAATAAGACAATTTCCACCCCTACATACAAATAAACTCCGGTGCATTTGTTTCTAGCAAAAAATTAATATAAGAAAGACCCGGTCTCGTTCTCAGGGAAACACGGTAGATGACTGAGGTGCAGTGTCAATGAAAGCAGTGGAGACTGAATTATGCTGATCAACGAGAGCGAATACCTGACACTTTACTCACTTTGTCTAAGCGTTCTTCATTATGGAAAAACTCAGCAATATCCTCCGGTAGCTTGCCAAGCATCTCTTGTTCTTGTAAGTATTGGATCCCTTTCAACGGCTTCTTGTTGAACCTACAAATGAATATTACATTAGTACTACTGTGAGTGTACAGTGTCATAAGACCATTAGAAAACATTGTTTGTAGTAATACCATGTGTACTATGTATGGGTTCCAGGCCTCACTTTGGGGAGGGGATAGACCCACTGTCCCCCTAACAAGCAAGTCGTAAGAGAGTAATTAAGGGTTTCCTTCAAAGTCGGAGTGCATCTGCCCAAGAGGCAAGGAACCAACAGTCTGCATACAAATATGCCAGATATGTAAAACAGAAGCACATGTAAACCTGACGTTCTGGAACGAGACAGAAAGTCCAGAAATGAGCGATCTACCAGAACTTTCTGCTGGCGTCTACAGCCGGTGAACACAAAAAGAAGATACCATGTAAGTATATATTATATATTATCATATCTATTGACAGTTGTTTTGCATCTGGGTCATCAATAGTTTTTAAGCATATGGGCTTTCCCGTCAACTAATAAAATCGTGTCATCTGATAATTTTTTTTTTTTTAAAGAGTAATTAAGTACCTACCTATCTAAACTAAACTAACAAACCAACCAACTCACAACTCAATCCCAATCTCCATGACTTCCTTTTGCTGTTTCAACACTTCAAACTGTTCTGGGCTGTCTGTGGGTGTTATCGCTGGGGTGGGGTTTGTCCCACTGTTGGTGGCTGTAGGGGCACTGCTGTTTGAGCTGAGAGAGTTGGTGCTGCCATAGCTGGTCATGGTTCCACTCCCTGAATCATTATCAGTCTCGGTGTAGGGTTTGCTGTCTTGACCTGTTGCATATGTGCAAATGGTTAAGATTTAATAGTGGTAAACAAATAGTACGATTAAATACACTTTAAAATATAAATCTTTAGATAAAAACTATTAACTGCTTCCAGTTAATATGTGACAAAACAATGGGGTAGAGGGTGGAAGAAGTGGGATTATGTCAAGAAATGAAAGAAGTTACCTTCCTACCATGTTTTCTCTGTCACAGTGTTTTCACCATTCTTCTTTAAAACAAATTGCATCTCTGCAGTTCACATGTTGTTTCTAACTAAACTGCTGACTGTCTGTTCTTCTCTTCTGTATATAAAATTCATCTATACAGCTCTTAAGCATTCCAACCTATATACATACAATGAGGAAACTATTTGTATATACAATGAGGAAACTATGTATTCAAATAATGGGGAAACTATTTGTACATACAATTGGGAAACTATTTTCCCCTTAAAAGTAATACAGTCTACTAGCACACCTGAGGTCTTCTTTTTCTTCTTCGCAATCACTGGCTGTAAACTCAGGTGGAAAGTTCTGGTTGTTTGTCCATCTCTGTACTTTAAATTTTGTTCCAGAAAATGAGTTTTGCATGCTCATCTTTCTTTTTTTATACATCTGACTTATCTGTATGAAGATTGTTGGTTCCTTGCCACTCAGGGAGCTGCACTCCAACTTCGAAGGAAGCCCCCAGTAAGTTGATTCTTATGACATGCGGGCTGGGGAGGCAGTGAGTCTAGTCTTATTTTCCCCTATGGGGCCCTTAAACCCACACAGGGAGAAAACCTGAGATCAAACTAACCCTTTGTAAGAAATGTGGATAAATATATATATATAAATAATAATAATGAAATGTTTCATGACAAAGCCTATTCACGAAAACCTTTCTTTTATTTGAAAATATCGATTTCCAAGATTTCTGCCGCTGTTAAAATTTATGAGTTACAATAATATAACAAAGAATAACACCAGTAACTACTTACCCACCTTCCCACTGCAGCCGACACACTAATGTGTCATGACGTACAGTTTAAAAAGCACTGCTCTAGACCCACATAACACTATTATGTCATGACGTACAGTTTAAAAAGCACTGCTTTAGACCCACCTAACAAAATCCCTAGATAGCAGACAGAACCTGTTCTCTCTCATAAAGATCCCTTACCTAGGTTTGACTGTGAGTGTGGGTTGATATACAGATCTTTACTCCACTCCACCATACACTTGAGTATAGACACCAGGCATTGCAGCCCCTTTATTCTCATGCTCTTCTCCTGGTTGGGGTTTGCACCTGTTGTAAACATCATTTAGTTTTAGGAACAAAGAAAGACATTGCAGGAAGCATCAACAAGAAAGGTACCTAAAAATTTCTGCCCGAACGAGAGCAATTCTGAGATCTTCTTCTGCCCTTTATCCTTTATTCCAGTGGTCAAGCCATTTGCCTCACGTTCTGAAGGTCGCGGATTCATTTTACGGTGGTACCTTTCAGTGCAATTTTTATGGAGATCACTGGGGATCGTCGTCGGAGCTATGGAGCTCATGCTCTGTGTGACGCTTTCAGCAGGCAGCCAGCTGTTCTGCAGAGAGAGACTGAGCCATGTGGGATAAAAACCTGTGTAATGAAGTCGATCCTCTCCCCTTTACACTCCCTAAACAGAGCTTAGGCCGGCAACCAACTCATCTCAAGTTGTTCCATCCTTTGCTATAACATCCAATTCACCCCATGTCTTTTCCATCCTTTTCACTTCACTGTGTAGTTCCAGTGCAAAGATATTCAAGTTAAACTGTCAGCAGCAGATATCTCGACTTGGATCCGAACCAGTGCCAGCACCTTTTAATGAGGTCTCCTTAACAAACGGTTAAGCTGTTTACTCCTCCTCCACCACCCTCACCCCAGAAGTTGTGGGTTCAGTTTCGGATTGTCTATCTCTTCAAAGTGCTGGCTGTTCATCCACTTCCGGATTTTGGTCTCATTCCAGAACTTGAGTTTTGTGTGCATGTCCATTTTACAGCTCATGCTTATTTGTGTGCAGATTGTTAGTTCCTAGCCTCTAAGGCAAATTCACCCTAACTTCAAAGCAAACAATCCCAACCAGTCGCCTCTGATGACTTGCTCATTAGGGGGAGTGGATCAATTCTTGTTTCCCGTAAGACAGGGTCATGGAATCCACACGGGGGAGCAATGAGTTTGTCAGAAAGCAAATGAAAATGGCAGTGCCAAATGATCTCCATGGCCTTAACCATCAAGCCGCCCTCATCTCATCCTTCAGGTAATCCCAGTTCCAACTTCACGGCATATAGGGTAGACCTAGATTGGCACTTGGTGGGTGATATGGTCAGCATCACTCCAGCTGCCTTTACTTCCCAGGAACCCACCTTGTACTCACTCAAGGTGGGTCATCCTGGGAGCCAAAGTCATTTAAAAAAAAAAAAAGTCCGGCTCCATCAGAGCCGAACACATGACCTTTCGATCCGCAGGCGAGTCCCATACACCACAGCGACTTCCTGACTCAGACTACAGTCTTAGCAAATTCAATAGCAAACACATTTCAACATACTTCACAGGTTCAAGAAATGGATGCCATTTGCATGGAACTTGTTGCCATAAAGATGGGCAATTGCCTGCCTTTCACCCAACTCTTAGACAGGCATGGCCTCAGGAAATCCTCTGTGGACATAGATACTACCCATTCTATGATACAAATGCAATTTAACATTTGTATAAATATTAACAACTTGACAGATGTACATAAATAGGTAACAAAATCACTTTCTTAAGTCTTTCAGTCTCAGTTAGTATTGAATTCAGAGTCTTTGCTCAAGTTTGTGTATCCTAGAACAACAAATTTTTAGTCTCATACAGCTAATAAATACAACTCTGGGAGACAAGGTATTATAAGTAAGATGTGGGGGTGGGAGTGGGGAGGGGGGGGGGGGGGGGGGAGAGTTAACAGAAAAAGTGACAGGAACAGTAAAGAAACTGGTACCATATACAGTATAACAAATCCAATAAATATATGTCACTGGAGGTTAGAAAAAGATTGCTTGTATCATATACAGAGCTAGTATTTTCATGGTTGTGAATCCTAGACAATTAATAAACAAGCCATTTCCTGAGGCCTCAGAGATGTGATTTTACATATGAATTTTTTAGAAATTCCTTGGACAGCTAAAAAGAGCAAATCAGATGTTAAAAAAAAAGGTCAGGACTAGAAGATAACTTATCACAAACATCAGAAAGAAACAGTCACCATTTTTTTAGGTCATATTATGAAAACAAGGAAACTGGAACATGTTGTGACCACTGGATAGATCTGTGGAGAGAGAGACAAAGGAAGAGAATGTGAGAAGATACTTAACAATCTTTTTTCATACCATAAAGGGGTGTCAACACACAAACGGATTCATGCAGTTGCGGATCACAGATTATGGCTGGGCATGATTACCCATGTCAGTCGACAAGGCACTTGATTATGATGTTATAGTGTAACCAATGAAAGCCTGTTGAGTTCTTCGGTACTAAAAGAGTTAGGAACACACACACAAACAAACCTAGTTCTCGTCCTTGAGCTATCTTGGACAGGTCGTTGATCAATCGTTCAAATATATTTGCTAGGGCCAAGTCACAGTCATAATTGAGGTAAATATCCACAACACACTGGGCATCTGGAGACAAAACAAATCACACAATTCAAGATATATTTGGGTGTGCATGTTTGTGATCCTGCAGTAAAACCGCCTCAACATAAACTCCATCAAGAAAAATATTCCATTATTATTTTTTTTTTTAAATTGGTTCCCAGCAGGAATGTATTTATTATTAATCCCAAGGTTCCCCATGTGGGTTCCAGGGCCCCATGTGGGTTCCAGGACCTCATGTGGGTTCCCCATGTGGGTTCCAGGATCCCATGTGGGTTCCAGGATCCCATGTGGGTTCCAGGATCCCATGTGGGTTCCAGGACCCCATGTGGGTTCCAGGACCCCATGTGGGTTCCAGGGCCCCATGACCCCATGTGGGTTCCAGGACCCCATGTGGGTTCCAGAGCCCCATGACCCCATGTGGGTTCCAGGGACCCATTATGGGAAAAACAAGAACAGACCCACTGCCTACCCAGGAGCATGCTGCAAGAGTCGACTAATTGGAGGCTTCCTTCAAAGTTGGAATGCATCTGGGTCAGAGGCAAGGAACCAACAGTCTGCATACACATGAGTCAGATCTGTAAACCGGATGTGCAACATTCCCGATTCTGCAATAGGACTAGAGTCCAGAAGCGGACGAACAACTAGAACTTTTCGCCGGAGTTTTCAGCAGGTGAAAGCTAAGAATGGAAGAAGTCCCAAGGTTGGCAAACAAACTCTGGATTTTTCAATTCCTTAGAATTCATGTTAACAAAGTTTTATTGAATGTGTGTATACACACTGACAAACAATTTGAAAATATGTGAATAGTGTTGTCGATCCCTGGCCGAGCCAGACTTTTTTTTTTAAAAATTACCTTGACTCCCAGGTTGACCCAGCCTTGAGTGGGTACCGGGTGCAGTCCCGAGAAGTAAAGGCCCGTGGCATGATGCTGACCACATCACCCATCTTGTTTATTATATCATTATTGGTCTATAAAAATGTAGGTCTAGCCCTATATGCCATAAGGCGCGGAAAAGGGACCTTTACTTGACTTTTTTTACTATATGCCCTATATGCCTAAGGGCGTAGAAAAGGGACCTTTACTTTTTTTTTTTTTTTCAAATTGTGTTGATTATAATTTTTTTTTAAAAAGAGACCCTTTTTCAAGCCATTGGAGCATCTTTAACGGTGCTAGTCTCACAAGTTTATCAAGGAAGCACTAGATGGGTGATGTGGTCTCCATCAAGATGGCCGTCTATACATCTCACCTTTACTGTACACACTTTAGGTGGTCGTCATCTTCTTCTTCTTCTTAGCATTCACTGGCTGTAAACCTCAGTGGAGAGCTGCGGTTGTTTGTCCACTTCTGGACTTTAGCACTGTTCCAGAACCTGAGTTTCGCAAGCAAATCCATTTGACAGATCTGACCTATTTGTATGCAGAAGGTTGGCTCCTCAAGTCTCGGGCAGATGCACTTCAATTGAAACACCCTCCTTAATTAGTCACCTTTGACCCCCGTGTGGGTTCCAGGGCCTTGTTATAGGGAAAACAAGAACAGACCCACTGCCTACCCAAAAGCATGTTGTAAGAGTCGATTAATTGGGAGCTTCCTTCGAAGTTGGAGTGCATCTGCTTGAGAGGCAAGGAACCAACAGTCTGCCCACAAATGTGTCAGATCTGTCAAACGGATGCACACGCAACGCTCAAGTTCTGGAGCAGGACTGCAGTCCAGAAGTGGATGAACAACCAGAACTTTCCACCAGATTTAACAGCTGGTGAACGCGAAGAAGAAGTCACCTTTTACAAACATGCTTGTGACGGCAAGCGGAGTGGGGAGGGGGGGGGGGGGGGGGGGGGGGTCCTATTTTATTTTATCCCAAAATTGGACCATGGAAGCCAAACAGGGAATTATGGACTGTCAGCCTGGGAGACCTGATTCAATGATACAATTCTGTGTGGATTTAAACCCAAGCCACCGAATTATAGCAACTTCCAGTATTTTTCTTTTTTCTTCTTCGCATACACCAGCTGTAAACTCTGGCGGAAGGTTCTAGCTGTTCGTCAAATTCTGGACTCTAGTCCTGTACCAGACATTGAGTGTTACGTGCACATCCTTTTTTTTTACTGATTTGACTCATTTGTATACAGTTGGTTCCTTGCCTCTCTGACTTTAAAGGAAGCTCTCAATTAGTCGACTCTTACGACATGCTTTTGGGTAGGCAGTGGGTCTAGTCGCTTCCAGTATTGATATTAGTAATTATCATAGGATTTAAAAACTTTTATGTATACTTATCGGTGTGGAAGCCGCCACGGTGTAGCAGCTAGATGCTTACCTACAGACCCAAAGGTCAAGGGTTCAAATCCACATTGAGTCAGATTTGTTAAAAAATGACTATCGTTCCAAGGTAAACCAGACTTAGATGGGTACCAGGTAAAGTCATGGGAAGTAAAGGTGGCCGGCATGATGTTGACCGCATCACCCAACGATGATATATAGGTCTAGTACTGTATACACAATACGCCTAATGGTGTGGAAAGTAGTCCTATACTTTACGTTACGTTACATGTCTGTGTGTTTGTACATATAATACAAGTGGGAGGATAACATCAAGAGATGGACAAACAGCAGTATGAGCGAGTGTACATCAAGAGCAAGAGACTGGGCTTGTTGGAGATCCATTGCAGCCAACCTTCATTGTGGAGACGGCACTTGATTGATTGATTGATTGACATATAATACACATACAGGAGATAAGAGCAAGTGGAAAATGGATAAAGAGTGAAGCACAGAATTGAAAGAAAAGCAAAAAAGAAACTGAGAATGCAGTGAAAGAGAGGAGAGAAGAGAGAAAGACAGTGAAATAAAGAGAAACAGAAAATGGATAGAAGGAACGAGGCAAAGAGAAACAAAAAAGAGAAAGCTGTAGTGGAAAAGAATTAAGTGGCCACAACGAGAGAGAAGCAAACATAGGAAGGAGCACATAAAAGACAAAGACAAAGACAGTCGTCTGAGAGGGAGTGAGCTTAAGAGACAGGGAACTGGATTTGATAGACAGAAGTGATAGATTCAAAGAGACAGAAGGAAAAAAAAAAGTTAAAGAGAAACTCAAAGAGAGTTTAATTTCCTCATAAATCTCTATCTTCTATTGCTCTCTCTCTCTCTCTATCTCTTTCTCTCATATTCGACAAGATAACTTTATGGAGAAGGCTTCCATGACAGTAGAACTACAGCCTCATCACACAGACAGACGCTTTAATCATCATCATCATGTTCCCTGTCAAACTGCGTAGGCATGCTTCTCCAGAGATCACCATCTCTGGTTGCTTGGAAGAGCTTTGATGACACCCCTCCATGTCATCTTTTCAGCCTATCTAGCATCATCTCTCTTGGTCTGCCTCTACCCCTTTTTCCACTGATCTTTCCAGTTGTCACGATGTTCTCCAATGTCCCTCTTCTCAATATGTGGCCAAAGAACAGTGTCTGTCTCTTTCTTATTGTTGTATACAGAGATCTACTTTCATTAACTTCTTTCAAGCAATTGTTGCTAGTTACTCTGGCCATCCAAGGTATTTGTAACATTCGTCTCAGAAACCACATGAAGCTTTAATACCTGCACAAATTCTTGTCAGAGCCTGAATAACCATCCACTTGTGTTCAAATGAGCTGCTGGGTGCCTCCAGAATGTACAGAAAAATCTCTTTGAAGAACACCTACATAAAACAAATAGGTCATTAGTTAAAATTACAACAAATAAACTGATCTGTTACCACAAACCAACCTAACCATCCGAAATCGAGTGAATAATGAAACTATCAGGCAAATTGTGGGAACAACACCTTGTACTAGATTCATCAAGAAACAGCAGATCAAGTGGTTTGGCCATCTCGTTAGAATGCAGCAAGATCAAATGCCATCACAAGTACTACATCTCAGAAGATCAGCTATAAGAGCAACAGGACGGCCGTGGAAAATATGGATCAACAACATTAAGGACACTCTACACCTTTACGGTATGACAATGGCCAGTGGCAGCCAACTTGCACTGGATCGCAAATTATTCCTCCCCACGCCGCTTAACAGCAGAAGTGGTTTATGAGTTACCGCAAAAATCTACACAAGATCTCTAGCAGGAATATACTGGCCAGAAAGATCACCAATGTAACAAGTATAGACAAGTGTGCCCTAAGAAAGTTAACTATCGTTCAACTACCAGTAGCCAGTTTGATGAACACAGGCATCAAGTCAACTAACCTATGTGTTTAACAACAACAACAAACTACTGTAGTCAAACTGATATTAAGACATGCATTAGCACACAAAAAATGTAACAGTTTGTGTTATGTTAATTCAACAGCATCTGCAAACATAAAATACCCCCCCCCCCCCCCCCCCCCAAAGAAAGTTGACAATTAATAATTTCTTGCAGCAAATTTAGTGTTCACAAACATCAAATGCTCCAACATATAAACTATCCATCCTATAATTAATTCCAGCAAGCTGTGTAGATCAACACACCTGTCTCATCTGACTTGTCATTCATAAGCGCACAGACCTCGGCATTGACAGCAACAGTATTCTGCTCCCGACAACTCCTATCAAGCGTGGTAACACAGGAGAAGGTGAGATCGGGCGCTGTAGGCACAGGTATCTATTCTTCACTAGGGTGGATGTCTGTAAGACTGCAGACCTGCTTGATATTCTCCTCTCCTTTGCCCTGCCCCGATTTGCCTCTTTTTAGTCTGTTGCCCCTTTTTCTGAAGAGCATGTGGTGCTTCAGATCAATGCTTATCTTGGGGTAGACCCTTTGTGGCAATGAAGATAGACTAGAGACAGTCAATGACTAGGGAAAGGAATAAAAAGGAAAGGGAAAAGATAGGAACCAGGTAAAGGAGCAGGAAGGGAAAGGAAAGGACGAACCAAGCACAGGAACGGGAAGGAAAGGGGAAGGATACAATAGGAACAGCACAAATGAATGGGAAGGAAGGGGAAAGAAAAGGAAAGGAACTAGATAAAGAGAAACATAAGCCAGCTACCAGCCGGACTGGGGAGCAGTAAAAGGCTAGAGAAAGCAATGATTGTCAAAATCAAATATAAAGAATTACAGGCTTGACAAATAAAGTGGAATGTAACTCGTTACATGATGACGAATACTGAATTATTCCAACATATTCTTCATCTTTTGCATTCTTGCCTAAAAGGGTGACTGACACATTGTGTTATGGTTTACAGCTAAGCTGCAATATCTGTGCCTTTTGGCCCAACACATCCGATTTCAGCAAATCTTTTATAGTCTCCTTTGAAGAGATGCTTGTTAAGTAGCATTGGATGTGGCCCCCGAACCCACACAGAGATATTACGATATACGATCATACAAACCTCTATCTGCATCTTGAGATGTTGTTTAAAATGAGCCAACAAGGTGATGAAGATTGTCAGTGACAGTTCAAACACTTCAGGTACGGAGCTCACGCCATTTTTGGACAATGCCACGCACAGATACTGCTTGATGGCATTGATAAACATAGCATTTGTTCTGAATACTGGGCCAGCACTCTGAAGGATCGACAGGAGGAGCTGTAATGAGAGGATCTTGGAGCGAAGTTCATGAGATCTGAAACATGAAATTAAATACATCAAATCTCTTCAAAATGTTGATGATATAATGCAACATAACAATTTATTTCTTATGTTAGTATGGCAGGCACAATCAAAATTAAAGATTTGACTATTAAGTATTCGTTACTTAGTTCGGAAGTTGCAGCGATGTAGTGCTAAATGTACGCCTGCTGACCCGAAGGCCTTTTGTTCAAATCTGCAAAGTCAATACACTGAGCTTTGGTACTGGGCTTATCCAACAAATCGTCACGTCTTATTCACGACTGTTCAACTTCACTTGCACACAATCAGCCTCTGACTAATCAGGGGCTTTGTACATGGAGCTCTGGTACTGGGTTAATCCAAGAAATTGTCACGTCTTATTCACGACTGTTTAACTTCACTTCCACACAATGAGCCTCTCACTAATCAGGGGCTATGTCTTTACAAGCTAGCAGGTTGAGGGCTGAGATTTCAACAACCTACACAAAATCAGTGTTTTACCTCTAAAGCACATCAGACTTTTATTGCAGCAGACTTCAGTGTCCTCTGTAGTATCTTATGACACTTCCCACATTGATACCTAAGGCATACAGTGTGGCAATTTGTTCTTTAAAGAAAGCATGCTTGTGACAAGTGTCTCTCTCTCTCTTAATCTCTCAATCCTGTTATTCCTATGAGTATAGTCATTTAGCATGCATACTAAAGTGTACAACTTTTCAATCATCTATAAATAATACATGTAAAAAAAATGTACGTACTTTGGATCTGGTGGGCCCTCGCCAAGAGGCTTCATTGAAAGCTTGCAAAGACTTCGGAAAACTAGAAAAGCGTCCTTTTGTAACACGTGACTAAAGGCTCCATGGAACTGTTCCCCGCCCTCCGTACCTTCTGCACTATCATCAGGAGATAGAATCCCTAATGGAGATCATAAAAATTGATTAAGAATTACAGAAGTGCATGTACTGAAGCAGATCTCTTTTCTTTGCCTCTGTCCTGCCTGTGTCATCCATGTTCGTCCTTGGAGGAGTCAACTCGAGGAACAGATGAGGAAGAATATCGTGGAGGCTTACTGTTTTTAGATGTGGCAAGTTTTTGTTTCTGACAATTGTCAGCAGACTGAAAGGATATAGTTCCATCGCCTAGATAATAAACTGAGTGCATGGCATGAGAGTGTTAGCTGTGGATTTTATTTAGAATGCTTTTTTGACTGTGCCCAACGCAGTTTGTATTATGAACTGCAAATTCAGAAAATAGTGAGTGGCCTATTGCCAGAGAACTTGTAGTGCCTTATGCGGTTAAGTGTGCGTGCAACTACTCATTTGTTGTAACTGCTGCCTCCATTAATGATAAACTGCATTTCTAGAACGGGATAGTTCGTGTTGGCACTTCTGATGGCTGCCTGATGTATTCAATGTGTGTGTGTGTACGCTACTGACTTTGCCGAAACTGCAGTTCATGTCCGTTTTCACAAGGGAAAAGATTGACATTCTTTGTGGTTTTTGTTGGCACAGGAATGAAGCAACTGTAGGATGACACCACTTACTATAAAGTTGGAACTGTCGTTACTTGACAGATGAGGAAGATAGTCATGTTGATAGTGGTAGTGATGATGATGATGTTCTCTGTTGCCTGTGACATGCTTCTCACTCTGAGGCTCTATGGAATCTTGTTGAAACAACTTAGTTCTCATGAGGGTAGTGTCTTTATTTTCATTTCTCATTATACTGATAAATGACAGTGAAATATCCTTTCTGAATGGCAGCGCACTCTCCCCAAAGTTATATTCTAAACAGTCTTTGGACTCTTTCTTCTTATTGTCTATTGAAGATATCTACTATAACTCTCAATTTACAACATAAATTTATACTGTAGTTTGATATCATGTTGTGTTCTTTGTTAGATTATGGCTGCCACCTGGCTCCTAGTATTGTTTGGTACACTGCTGCCTAATCACCATCTCCCACATATCGTTAATGTGTCTACGTAATATGCCTCTACTGAATATATGGATCCATATTATCATCATCATGTGCTATAAGTGTAGGTGGGCATAGAATCATGTTTCGCCAGCTCACATGATCACCTAAATGAAACATCCATTTTGTCATTTCTCCGAGTATTGAGTGTCCGCAGATCCACTGGTAAGTGTGTGTTTTTTTTTTAAACAACATGCAAATTATAAACATGGAGGAAGAAGGGGCAAAAGAGTACAAAACTGTCAGAAGTTGATGAACAACAGTGCAGTTAGTAGTCTAGGTTTAAAAAAATGTTAGGGCTGCAAAATGCCACATGCAAATTGGGGAGTAAAATAATTCATACTTCTGTGCTGTTTTTCCTGCCTAGGTGTTATATCCTGATAAAGAACTTTGGCCTGAAAGTCTCGAGGTTGAATCCCGACCAGACAAAACAGGGTAAGAATGATCTTGCTTTCTAGGTCAACCCAGCCTCAAATGGCCAGCAGGAAATATCTTATACAGTAAGGGTAGTCACACAGCCTATACAGCAGTGTTCTTCAACCAGTGGGTTAAGGAACAGTCCAAGGGGGCGACAAAAAAAAAAAAAAAAATGATGGGGTTGGTAGTTGTTTTTTCCTTCCAAGATTGCTGATTGTAGGATTTACCACCTTGAGAATGAGAACCAAACAGGTACAAATCCCGGAAACCCTTTTCAACTGCGTAAAAAATAGTATTATGAAATCTGACAGTTAGGTTCAATTGGGTTAGGAATAAAAACAATAATTCGTGTAATGGCCATATAATTCCTGCAATGTGAGTGAGGAGTCATATGTGTAAATTCTGTTTCTGTGTATCGTTAGCTGTCAGGTGGGTCATGAAACAATGTCCACTGTTGTGGTGGGCTGCGGGTGTAAAGGTGGGCTGCTGGTGTAAAGGTGGGCTGCGGGTGTAAAGGTGGGCTGCTGGTGTAAAGGTGGGCCGCGGGTGTAAAGGTGGGCTGAGGGTGTAAGGATGGGCTGCGGATGTAAAGGTGGGCTGCGGGTGTAAAGGTGGGCTGCGGGTGTAAAGGTGGGCTGCGGGTGTAAAGGTGGGCTGCGGGTGTAAAGGTGGGCTGCGGGTGTAAAGGTGGGGCTGCTGGTGTAAAGGTGGGCTGCGGGTGTAAAGGTGGGCTGCAGGTGTAAAGGTGGGCTGCGGGTGTAAAGGTGGGCTGCGGGTGTAAAGGTGGGCTGCGGGTGTAAAGGTGGGCTGCGGGTGTAAACAGGTTGAGGAACACTGCTACAGAGGGTCAATTGGTCTAATACAATATATCCAGCATTATATACCCAGTCCACCAATGGGGTAAAATTGGTCCTTTACTTTATGCTGTCTGTTTCAATTTCTTTTCCCAGATTCTCTTTCTTCTTCTTCTTCACGTTCACCGGTCATAAACTCTGGTTGTTCATCCACTTCTGGACTTTGGTCTAGTCCCAGTCCTTCAGTTTTGCATGCATATCCATTTTATAGATCCAGCTTATTTATAAGCAGACTGTTGGTTCCTTGTCTCTCATGGAAATGCACTCTGACTTTGAAGCTAACTCGCCTTATTAATCACTGTGTGTATTGTCTCCGCCCCCCTCCCCCCTCCTCAACCAGGACCCTGGAACCAATAAGTGTGTGACCTTCCCCTCGACTGCAACGACTTGTACCAAACATCAACAATCACCTTCACTAGAGTTAGCCAATACAGAGGGCAGCTGCTGGTCCTGCGTGTGGCTGGGTGGCTGCTGCTGCGGCTGTGGTTCCTCTTGCGCAGCATTTGCCACACCATTGTTGACAACAGTATCTGTTTGTATTTCTGAAGGTTCAACGTCCAGGTCTGAACAAATCCCAAGAAAAGCACAGGAGACAAACACAGAAGCATGAGGTATGAGAAAACAAGACAAAACATGCACTGAAATTATAGGTATTTTGTTACAAAATACATGTATACATATTGTGGGAGTGGAAAGAGGGTAGGGGGGGGGGATGGAGAGAAGAAGGAATCATCATCATCAGGTGCCTTGCCGACTGGCGTGGGCGATCATGCCTCTCCATAATCCGCGATCTCCTGCAGCATGTATCAGTTCGTGTGCCGACACACCTCCATGCCATGCAACAAGACTGTCAAGCATCTTCTCTCGTTGTCTTCCTCTATCCCTCCTTCCACAGATCTTTCCAGTGGTCACAACATGTTCTATTTTCCCTCTTCTCATAACATGGCCGAAAAATGATGACTGTCTCCTTCTGATGTCAGTGATAAGTTGTCTTCGGTCTCCCGCCTCTTTTAAAACCTCTTGGTTGCTCTTTTTGGCTGTCCAAGGTATTCTAAGCATTCTTCTGTAAAACCACATCTCTGAGGCCTCTAAAAATTGTTTGGCCTGCCTACCGATTGTCCAGGATTCACATCCATATGTTAAAACTGGATGTATGTAGCAAGCAAGAATTCTTTTTCTAACTCTCAATGACAAGGATATATTGCACAAGATGTTTTTCATTTTATAAAATGCAGTTTTTGCTTGTCCAATTCTGTTTCTTATTTCAGTTATGCATCTTCCATCTGATGCTATCCATGTGCCCAGATACTTAAATTTCTGTACTTGTCTTAAAATAACACCATTGACTTTTATTACACATTTAGGAACACTAGGAGAAAAAGAAAGAAAAAAACAAAGACAAAAGAGGAGAGGATAAGAGCAATGCACGCCAGGTTCTATTATAACAAAGACAAAAGAGGAGAGGATAAGAGCAATGCACGCCAGGTTCTATTATAACAAAGACAAAAGAGGAGAGGATAAGAGCAATGCACGCCAGGTTCTATTATAACAAAGACAAAAGAGGAGAGGATAAGAGCAATGCACGCCAGGTTCTATTATAACAAAGACAAACGAGGAGAGGATAAGAGCAATGCACGCCAGGTTCTATTATAACAAAGACAAAAGAGGAGAGGATAAGAGCAATGCACGCCAGGTTCTATTATAACAAAGACAAAAGAGGAGAGGATAAGAGCAATGCACGCCAGGTTCTATTATAACAAAAGACAAAAGAGGAGAGGATAAGAGCAATGCACGCCAGGTTCTATTATAACAAAGACAAACGAGGAGAGGATAAGAGCAATGCACGCCAGGTTCTATTATAACAAAGACAAAAGAGGAGAGGATAAGAGCAATGCACGCCAGGTTCTATTATAACAAAGACAAAAGAGGAGAGGATAAGAGCAATGCACGCCAGGTTCTATTATAACAAAGACAAACGAGGAGAGGATAAGAGCAATGCACGCCAGGTTCTATTATAACAAATCTACAAAGTAGCAAGTTCTCACAAGGTCAGAGAAGAGGCAACACAGAGGAAATTCAGTTTAAATGCACATAAAATTAAAGACAATAACATTTTACAAAGGTGCCATATCCAAAATAAACAAGAAGTTCAAATATATAAACATATATATATATATATATATGCATACACACTATTTTCACTTTAAACTGGACACTTTTCAAATTATCTAGGACATTTTTCAAATCAAACTGGATGATTTTCAAACCACCTAGGACGTTTTTCAAAATCAAAGTGGACATTTTTCAAATCTTCCAGGACGTTTTTCAAATCAAACCGGACAATTTTAAAACCACTGAAGACGTTTGAAAATTGTCCAGTTTGATTTGAAAAGTGTCCAGTTTAAAGTTAAAATGGTATATATTAGGCAAATGATTAAACCTACTCAATGAGGATATCTGTGAATGCCCAATATGCCTAATGGCACAGGAAAAGGACCATATGCAACACCATGACCTAAACTTTTAACTTTCCGATGTGCACTGTGACTAAACATTCAACCACCCCCTCCCTTCTTTCTTTCTCTCCATCTTTCTCTATCTCTCTCTCTCTCTCTCTCTCTCTCTCTCTCTCTCTCTCTCTCTCTCTCTCTCTCTCTCTCTATATATATATATATATATATATATATATATATATATATATATATATATATATATATATATCGCATGCAAGCGCACATACACTTTCATAAATAAATCCAAATACAAACTGGAAAAAAGAATACATGCTTATGATAGGTGTGGTCATGCCATAAACTGTTTCAGGGTTGCTTGGCTGTTTTGAGAAGGGAAAGTATGTCCAAGGAAGACAAGAAATCCAAACATAAAAATCAAAATAAATTTTGTGAATTTTGGTGCCAATGCTGCACCTTTTATAACATGCTTGCTAGAGGGCAGTAAGTATATTCTCTCCCCCCCCCCCCCCTTTAAAATTTTCTTCTGCATTCATCCGAAGATGTCAATGTGTTGTGCCTATTTACAACATGGCTGCGATAGCTGCACCTTTCGGCTGACTAATTTGACTTCTGTAGGCATTTATTGCCTAGATTAGACTTTCCGGTCCATTTAAAATAACGCCCCCCAAGAACCCACAAAGGGAAGCACCCTATGATACTTACTTACTTACTTAGACTGTCCTCTTCTACCTAGGAGTGTAGCGGTTTGCCAGAGAGATCACCACTTCTCTATCGCCAGTTTTCTTTCTGGTTTTGTTCCTCTGTCAGGGACTGTCAGATTTTGTCTTTCCAGAGGACCCTGGGTCACTCTGAAGGTCTGGTTCCTTGGTTCTTAGCCTCCCATGCCTGCCATGGTGGCCGAGTTTCTCCCATTGTGCATACATGTCCAAACTACCGTAACCGTGACTAATCCACTTGAGCTTCTTACACCTGGGATTTAAGATTATGACATATTGTCTGATTGTGAACTTTGTTCCTTCTTGTCACTTGGACCACCTTTCTCAGATTTCTCATTTCCGAGGTCTAAAGCTGGCTTCTGCGAGCACCCTACGGTAAGAAATAATTACTGCTCTATATGGGTGAGGTGCTAAATTCATTTAAAACCAGCAGGTGCCCACCTACCTCCAACTACATCATCCACAATGCCCGATAAAATGCTGGACACAATTGCCTCGGCAGATTCTGTGTCCGATTCACCGGCCTCTTTGACTGATGAAGTATCTGGACTTTTTTTATGGTTCTGTAAGCTGCGCTCATCTAAAATGAAAGTATTAAAAGACAGAAAATACAGAGAGTAAAGGGGTGTTGTCTGCTCGGTTTTATACATATGATGTTATTGAATAATTCACCCCCCCGCCCCCCACACACACACACAATCAGAGCCATTGCATGTAACTAAAGTAAAGTGAAGGACCCTTTTCCATGCACTCAGGCCTATTGGGCATATAAGGCTAGACTTATATTTTATAGACCAATTTGCACTCGGTGGTAACTATGTTTTCGTTTATTCAACGGATCAACATCATGGCACAGGGGTGTAATCCATAAGTGCTCCATTCTTCTTCTAAAGCAAGCCTGAGTCTGAAGAATCTCAGCACAATGCACAAACTCTGATGTGCCAGTGAGGATCCTGAAACATTTTTGGGTAAATTTTTAACTTCAAATTTTGCCTTACTATTTTCGATTTTTTTAATTGACTGATGGTGGGCCCACTGCAAATGCTAAATAATTTTTGATTTAGTTGGTTCTGTATCCTTTACAAGACGTTGCAGAACCAACCCCAGCATTTTTTGGCTGTTGTGGTTTTTCTAGGCAAATTTACGTCCAGTAGTTTGCCACTGCTGTCTGGACGGTCGGCTCAAATCTAATGCAGGGCCCGCAGCTGGGATTGAACCCGGCACCCCAGCATTACGAAGCGCATTCGTAATGCCTAAGCCCCAGGCGTTGACAATTGTTTATTAGGATGATGACATAACCCATTATTCAATTCCTAAACAAATATGTTGCCAGGAAGTTGAAAATAACCAAAATATGTCAATTTTAAGATTACGTTATTTTAAGAATAAGAAGAATAAGAAACCAACACAGAACAAGTGTCATCAGCAGCTACGCCCTGAGGAATTTACTAAGGAGGAACTCAGAGCACTAAGGACTGAATGTTTCGAGGTGCAATAAGGATAATTGTCCGACTAATTAATGAATCTGTCATTGGGGATGTTTTCTTCAAAGTCGGAGTGCACCTGCCTAAAAGGTTAAGAACCAGTAATTTGCACACACACACACACATGCACACACAAAAACTCAAATTCTGGAACAAGAACAAAGTGCGTAAGTGTAAGTGGACGAATAGCCAGAATTTTCCACCAGAGTTTACAGCCGGTGAGTGCCAAGGAAGGAAGAAAGGACTTTACAACAAAGAATAGTGTTGTTTGCACAAACCATTGACACAAGAAGTGAACCAAAAAATGTAATGGCAATTTCAAGGGAAGTTGTTTGCCTTGTGCCGTGAAGGTAGTGGGTTCGTTTCACAGATGCGTCATCTAGTTAGGAGTACAGTTTTTTTGGAGATCCCTAGAAATCATTATGGAGATAGGAAGTCAATGTGTGCAGTACTCTAGGCAGGCAGCTAATCCTTCCACAGGGAGAGACTGAGCCATGTGGGATAAAAACCTAGTGCAAGGAAGTCAATCCTCAATCCTCTGGGCTTAAATTTCAATCTCTAACTCTCCTCTATACATGAAGTTGGTTCATTCTACCTTTGTTTTGTAGGTCTTGCTATGTTTTTTATGTCCTGTGCATTCCAGTGAATGAACTTTCTGTTCACTCAATCATCAATCAGCAAATCCATTACAGACTGTCTCTCTTGTCACGGCACACTGAAAGTCTCTCTTTCTATAGCTTATTCTCCAGTCCTATGTGCTTTCAAAGCCGGTGCATCTTCAACGTAGATTATTCATATTCGCAGAGGTCTGTCTCAGTCTTATTTCCTGGAAACTGTATCCTCCATCGCCATTATCTCCAAGCCACCATGACATTTAACCTGGAAAAATACCTCAGCTTTTGAGACAGAATGCTGTTTATGAGCCAAATCTCTAGTTAATTCTGGTTTACTGGCAAGACATCAACGTGACTGCTTCGGATATGTCAGTTAAGTGATTCTGTGTATTCGTGTGGTTTTGTTTGATTGACGTATGTACTGATGAACGCTCTAAAGCCGCAACTTTAACACTACCTTGTAAAATCCTGTCTTCCTCTACAGCATCAACCTCATCATCTCCATTCTGAACAGACACACCCTCATCAACATTTGACTTCTTCTCCTAGAAAAAAAACAAGCACAATTAATTAATACAATGAGCCTCTAATAAGTAACAGGTAATAAGATAATTCCAGTTCCAACGTCACAGATGACCGCTAACCCCATAGTTGAACCCCTGTTCCTGCGACAACAAAAATCACACAGAATGCCCATGATTGTCCCTTGTGGAAAAATAAAACACAGACTGTAGTCTAGCAAAATCCAACAGCAGTCAGTTGTCAGCACAAACAGTCGAACACAAAAAGTGCAGTTAATTGTCAATGGAAGCAGTGGTTACAACAGATCAGTAGTTGCACAAGCAATTAATTGCATAAGGCACCACAAGTCTTTTTTCTTTCTTGTGGCAACAGGCCACTTGCCATTTTCTGAAATGTAGTTCACAATAAAAACCATGCTGGGCACAGTCGTAAAGTATTCCACATGAAATCCACAGCTCAGTGTCGAAACAATGCATTCAACTCGGTAGCGGGGCAATGGAACTATATCCTTCTACACTACACAACATGTGGCAAAAACAAGTCACATCTACAGCAAAAACTAAACCTTTCTTCATCTGTTAACAAATGTTTTATCTATTTCTACCTTTGATCATAAATGCTTTTTAATGTAATAAACTTGACAGCAAAGTTTTTATGAACTGGGTGTTTAAAGTGTCAGCTATCAAAGTTTCATGTCTAAAAGCAAAATATATATATATATATAAATATATATGTTTGTATGTATGTATATCAACTTACTAAATAAACCCAGTCCTAGAGCTTTATGCCCAGCCCTCAAATAAATGGCATTATCAGTAAATGCTGCTTCCTGTAAGATATTTAACACTTTCAGCTTCTTAATAATTTATATTTCAGTAATTTGTATTCTTCTTCTACTTCTTTGCATTCGGTTTCATATGTTCAGATATGAACATCAGGTGGGTTGCCTCCGAAGTCGCATGTCAGTAGCAGGTCCTTCATGGTTCCCCATAGCTTGCTCTGCATACTTTGCTCCTGAGGCCAGGTTTCTTTTCAAAGTTGTAGGTAGAGTGGGCAGGTCTGCAGAATGTGCTCAGGTGTTTGTGGTCCTGTCTAACAGGCACACTGTGGGGACTGTACAGTATTTATTTTATGCATGCCGTAGCTGAGCCTGCAGTGTCCTGTTTGTGAACGGAATATTGTTGTATGATACTTTCTGTTGAATCTGCTGATGGGTCTTGTGGATGTTTACTGTTAGTTTGTTCTCTCCACAATTCCTTGTATTTTCCTTTGATAAGTGTTCTGATTTCTGGTAATGACAATGAATGGGTATGTTGTTTCTCCTTTGTTCCATTTGAGTTGTACTCAGATAGAGAGATCTCAACAGCAGACACTACCATAGCATGCAAAATATTCTCTCTTTCTGTCTGTCTATATCTTCTGCCAAATAAAGCATTCAAAAGTGATTTCCACTGTTGTCGGTCTGCTGCTTTTCTGCCCACAGTATCCCACACCTTCATTTCCCTTTCTACTGTCCTTCAGGTTTCCTCAGGTTATTCACATCTGCTTTTTTCAGCTGCCATCCACTTCACAGCTCACCGGGCCAAAGTGTCACAAGGCATTCTACAAACATGTCCGCCATCTCCATCGTCTTCCCTTGATACACTGGCCAGGGATGAGCATTTCTTCCCCACCTCAGTTCTTTATCTGTTATTAGCAGGATTTGTGAAATATTAGGCTTTCATATATTCTAGGTCATAACATGTAATGCAGGGAGGTCATTTCTCTGTCTCTTCACCGTTTCTTCAGAGACTATTCCCCAATCATTATTAAAACTGTCTGACCAAGAGCCATATTACAGGAAATAGTCATGCCAGTGGCACATCAGCCATATGATGCTGAAGTCATTTTTTTTAATAGATCAATCAGCATTCGATGAATGATGTGGTCGAAATACCGTCGACTGTCTTCACCACAACAGCCAACAAATTCTATGGTTGGTCTGAAACGCCCTGTAAAGGAAACAACAACTAACTTTTAAAGTTGCTTCACATCCAAATGGATGCAGATTCAAACTGAAAAACTTTGGGCTGGCACTTCCATTCTCCAGCACTAATTTATCCTTATCATTTTTAATAAACAACAATAAATACAAAACCAAAAGGTTTCTTTCAGAACATAAAAATAAAAAAAAATAAAATAAAATTTTTTTTAATTAAAAAAGAAAAAATTATAGAACACAGAATAACACATTTTTTTTACAGAATGAAATATTTTTCAGATAGACACACACAAAAACAAAACCAAAAAAAAGTCAGAGAAGACAATTTACTTCTAGCTTGTTGTTTTCCCCATCCGATTTTTTACTGTCTTTACTGTCACATCGATCTGGAGATTTTTCATCTTCAGCCTGTGGTATTGGATAAAAGACATAACAGAATGTAAAGAGATCATGTTTCCTACTTTAATTTATTGAACAACCTTAAAAGTCCATGGTTTAGCACCAGCAAGGAGATCACAATTAGAATTTTGGGAGCATGCATCTTCCCTGTAGCAACATACGGACGTGAGTCGTGGACTATCTCTCAGTCCTTAAGAAAGAGAATAGGGGCTTTTAAGCTGAAATGCTATAGAAAGATTCTCATAATATCTTGGACAAAGAAGAGGAGAAATACTGACATCTTGAAAGTTCTGATCATCAAGGAAGATTCGCTAATGAACAGCATCCTGTCTCAGAAGCTGAAATATTTTGGTCATATCAAGCGCCACGACGGATTGGAACAAATTATGGCAGAAGGCTTGTTACCAGGAAGGAGGGGCAGGGGCCGACCGACACGAAGATGGGCACAGGATATAAGTGACTCCTTGAGTATGAAAGTACATGAGGCGGGAGAATTGGCGAGAGACCAAGTTTCTTTCAGGCAGACTGTGATGAGAGCGACGTTCTGCAAAGGATCTGCTACATGATGATGATGACTTTAATTTAAACTGGAACATATTGTAAAAATTTTGTTTTTTATGTCCCTTAACCAACTACTTTAAACTGGCATGTTTCTGAGATACCAAGTTAATGCCACTGATTTTGTTTGCATATGTGCAGCATTTAGGAGGTCAGGATATAACTATATTAACTAAAAATAGCATGTGGTGGGGGTGTGTGGGTCTTTTGACCTAAATGGCTTTTTAAAGCATCACTGACATCAAATTTTCCCTGTAGTCTCAATGACTGAGGTCAAAGAATGAGTCATCCGATACATATTTTCTTTTAGGCCCATTCAATTTAAGGCTTCACTTTGTTTGTGTTTACTGAGAACTTTTTATATATATAAATGTTGTCCAGTACTTAAAATTTTGCTGCAATCTCCATGTCATGCTAGAAATACACTATTCTTTAACTCTACCAGACCGCTGTACTGCTTTTCTGGAAATTTCCTAACCTGCTGCTAAACCGCTGTACCTAATTTTCGGTACTTTGTGAACTACGTGAAAAAATGCATCACAAACTAAAAATAACCAACTAATTGTGGTCAAACCCCATTGTTAGTGATTAAAAATGGCTGCCCCCATTTGTCTGGATTTACTTTGTTTAGTTTAGCGTGAAAAGATTCAGAAAATTCACAATGAAACGAGCAGCTGATGAACTAAGCACTTGGACAGGAAAGGGAAGTAGGTCTAGGCTTTTCACAGTCCAACAGGTGATCGGTACTTTTGTTGAATTTCATCAAGAATACATTCCCAGTTGAAGTGACACAGACAGTGAGCACCAGTAATGAGGAGAATCTTGAACCCTATAAATTTAAAACTAGATTGATAGTTAGAGAAGAGGGCGTGTCTCTCAAAAAGCAACATCTGGTGCTCGCTTTGTGAAACAAGGCTGATCCTGCTGGGCGGATTGGCACACAAAGGTGGAATTTTGGCACTAGATGAAAGGTAAACATATTCTCTACAATGTCTTCAAGTTTAACCCTTTTAGCACGGGAAGTTTTTCAGAGGTCTAGCCAAAAACACGGAGCATTTTTTCAGTGAATTTGGTTATTACTTTATTTAATTTTTTTGACAGATTTCTGTTATTCTGACCCCCATGAAATAATATATCTATTTGAAGGATATAGATTGAAGTTCATGATTTTCACAATATCGTAAAAATTAATTGATGTATATGCAAACTATCTCATTTGCATATCTAAAAATAGAAAATTTGAATTTGAATTTTCAACTTCAATGCTTGAAACATAAAACTAAAAACAAAAATTTTTTTTATTTGAAATTTTTTTTATTGATCTTTGGCCTTTTTGCAAATGTTGTAAGCAATTCAATAGTCAAAAACAGGTATATATATATATGAAACAGCAATAATATCTTTAGGTGACATGTGTTTTTCACCATCAGTCAGCACAAGAAATGGATGTGCCGGAGTGTCAACACCTTCGGGTGGATATACCCTGAGCCATGGTTGGGCTGTGACTGAACACAACAGCGTCCCCATCTGATTCCCACTATTACTACTAACACTAAATCCTGCATCAGTATCAACATAATTAGTGTCATCACTTGATTCAAATGTTTTATCAACATCAAGTTTAGGGGCAGAAACATACGAGTCAGACATACTTTTAGCGGTTCAGGTCACTATCTAAAAAATTCAACAACAATTTTCACTTCGATACCAAACACTCGAAAGTCGCCATGTGTAAAGCTAATACCGCAGTTAATATAAATGAATCACTTTCAGTGTTTCAAAATAGGAGATTTCTTAGCGGTTCGAGGCGAAACACGATCAGGCCGATGATCGGCCGTTCCGTGTTTTTGGCTGATAATCCGCCCGTCCGTGCTAAGAGGGTTAATCTTATTCTAACCACTTGTTTGCATGCAACTAATAGTTTTGTATATCATGTTGGTTTTTTCCTTAATTCAACATTAAACATATTTACATCCTCATTTCCCCGTGACACAAACAACAGAAGTAACTTACGGCTTGAGCTTCCATCCGACTAAAGACAACATTCAACATGTTTACATACTCATTTCCCCGTGACACAAACAACATATGTAACTTACGGCTTGAGCTTCCATCCGACTAAAGACAACATTCAACATGTTTACATACTCATTTCCCCGTGACACAAACAACAGATGTAACTTACGGCTTGAGCTTCCATCCGACTAAAGACAACATTCAACATGTTTTACATACTCATTTCCCCGTGACACAAACAACAGATGTAACTTACGGCTTGAGCTTCCATCCGACTAAAGACAACATTCAACATGTTTACATACTCATTTCCCCGTGACACAAACAACAGATGTAACTTACGGCTTGAGCTTCCATCCGACTAAAGACAACATTCAACATGTTTACATACTCATTTCCCCGTGACACAAACAACAGATGTAACTTACGGCTTGAGCTTCCATCCGACTAAAGACAACATTCAACATGTTTACATACTCATTTCCCCGTGACACAAACAACAGATGTAACTTACGGCTTGAGCTTCCATCCGACTAAAGACAACATTCAACATGTTTACATACTCATTTCCCCGTGACACAAACAACAGATGTAACTTACGGCTTGAGCTTCCATCCGACTAAAGACAACATTCAACATGTTTACATACTCATTTCCCCGTGACACAAACAACAGATGTAACTTACGGCTTGAGCTTCCATCCGACTAAAGACAACATTCAACATGTTTATATACTCATTTCCCCGTGACACAAACAACAGATGTAACTTACGGCTTGAGCTTCCATCCGACTAAAGACAACATTCAACATGTTTACATACTCATTTCCCCGTGACACAAACAACAGATGTAACTTACGGCTTGAGCTTCCATCCGACTAAAGACAACATTCAACATGTTTACATACTCATTTCCCCGTGACACAAACAACATATGTAACTTACGGCTTGAGCTTCCATCCGACTAAGACAACATTTAACATGTTTACATACTCATTTCCCGTGACACAAACAACAGATGTAACTTACGGCTTGAGCTTCCATCCGACTAAAGACAACATTCAACATGTTTACATACTCATTTCCCCGTGACACAAACAACAGATGTAAACTTACGGCTTGAGCTTCCATCCGACTAAAGACAACATTCAACATGTTTACATACTCATTTCCCCGTGACACAAACAACAGATGTAACTTACGGCTTGAGCTTCCATCCGAACTAAAGACAACATTCAACATGTTTACATACTCATTTCCCCGTGACACAAACAACAGATGTAACTTACGGCTTGAGCTTCCATCCGACTAAAGACAACATTCAACATGTTTACATACTCATTTCCCCGTGACACAAACAACAGATGTAACTTACGGCTTGAGCTTCCATCCGACTAAAGACAACATTCAACATGTTTACATACTCATTTCCCCGTGACAACAAACAACAGATGTAACTTACGGCTTGAGCTTCCATCCGACTAAAGACAACATTCAACATGTTTACATACTCATTTCCCCGTGACACAAACAACAGATGTAACTTACGGCTTGAGCTTCCATCCGACTAAAGACAACATTCAACATGTTTACATACTCATTTCCCCGTGACACAAACAACAGATGTAACTTACGGCTTGAGCTTCCATCCGACTAAAGACAACATTCAACATGTTTACATACTCATTTCCCCGTGACACAAACAACAGATGTAACTTACGGCTTGAGCTTCCATCCGACTAAAGACAACATTCAACATGTTTTACATACTCATTTCCCCGTGACACAAACAACAGATGTAACTTACGGCTTGAGCTTCCATCCGACTAAAGACAACATTCAACATGTTTACATACTCATTTCCCCGTGACACAAACAACAGATGTAACTTACGGCTTGAGCTTCCATCCGACTAAAGATGACATTCAACATCTGTGTCAGGGTTGCCTTGGCAGTCATTCTGTTAACGAGACTTCGGCTGGCCAAGTATATGTTGTAGCAAGTACGCACAGTCTGAAGAACAGTGCCCTCGTGAATTTCACACGTAGTCGATGTCACCACCGTTAACAACGCCTACATGGAGAAGAAATAAACAACCTGTCAATACTGGAATTATTTACAACATATTAGGACAATGTAGGACTTCCGAGTATTAGGGCCACATTTCTAGTGTAGTTGCCACAAACTGTGCAAGTTAGGATTTTATTTTTTGCCCCAGTTAGAAAAACATACACCACTTTATACCGATAATATGAACCTGGGTTTCCAAATGAGAGCTAAGTGTTCTTAACTGCTTGGTCAGGCACTCCTCCTTTAGTGCTTAATATAACATCATTGTCAAATATGCAGGCTGATGTATATGTTCACTGTGGCCATTCTAAATAGTTTATAAAACACCTCACTAAATAGTTTATAAAACACTTCACTAAATAGTTTATAAAACACCTCACTAAAAAGTTTATAAAACACCTCAAAACTATCTACTTAAAAAATAATTTAAAAAAAAAAACCTACATAATTTAAAGCTATTTTTGCAACAACAAAAATTCAAGAGGGGAAAGAAGAGCACACCTGTTCCTGTATGGGTTCTGAGGCTATATTCCAAAGGACAAGAAATAGACCCACAGCCGATAAAGAAGCATGTCGTAAAATGTGACTTATTGGAGAGTTGCTGAAATCAGATGTGCTGAGCCGAAAGGCGCAGAAACCACAGCCTAGCTGTAAACCTCAACACAATGTGCCAACCACCCCTTTCATGTGAACGCAGAAGAAGAAGAATTATACTTGCTGTTAAACTACCGAGCGTTGGTAATCACCTTATGATCTGTAGCTGTACTCCC